AGGGACAGATCCCTCCTGATAACATGTCCAAAGTACATGAGACGTAGTCTCACCATCTTTGCTTTTTTTTTTTAATCATTATTCATAGTAGCCTCAAAGTAGAACTTATGCAAATGTCCATCAGTAGCAAAACAGACCAATAAATTGTCATATGATGATATATATACACATATACACAAATGGATACATACATATACATATGCATACACACACACATATATACATACATATTTATACAATGGAATATAGCAATGAAAATAAACTACTATATACAATAATTGGATCAATCTAACAAAAGTAATGTTGAGTAAAAAAAGCCAGACACAAAAGAGTCCAGACTGTAGCATTCCATTTATATAAAGTAAAAAATTGGCAAGACTAATCTATATGCTGTAAGACATTGAGAGAGTGTGACTGGGAGCTGGGAAGGAAGGATTCTTCTAATGTTCCATTTTTTGAATTAGATGCTGGTTACTTGGGTGTATTTACTTCATTAAGCAGAACACTTATGATCTGTGTACTTTTCTGTAAATGTGTTATACTTCAACAAAGAGTTAGGAAAAAAAAAAAAAAAAAAAAGCATACCCAGTTAGTTGCTCTGTGAAGGCAGGGATTTTTATCTGCTTCTCCACTGCTGACATTCAGATCAGTCTCTGGAACTTAGTAGGCACTCAATAAATATTCAGAGAGCAGCCATATCAAGTAGGGCTCTGTGGATGCAAATCCTTTCTGTTACTCTTGAGTGTTGATAAAATCATGTAACACCTTACAGCTCAGTTTTGCTGTGGGGAAGGAAGGGGAGGGCTGGTTCTACTTCTGGCCTAGAGTTATAGGGGGAGTAGTGTCCCCTGAAGCCAAGGCATGGCCTATGACATCATTTCCCATCTGAGTGGGGCCTCGCTTGTCTTCCATTTCCCTACCTCATCCCTACAACGTACCATGGAGGACACTGTGGCAAACCATATCCTGCAAACCAAAATGTCAGTGCCAGGGCCTAGGCCAAACAACAGGTTTCCTGTAGGAATGGGAGGGATGTGTGATTGGAGAGTTAAGGGCTGAGGCTGTTGTGCCCTTCAGCTTCATCAGGCTTGAAGGGGATGCAGAGTGAGGAAGGTCACAAGCTGGGTATTAGCATGGGGTCGAATCTTAGAATTCTGTGCTCTGAAGAAAACCTGAGAGGCTCTACAGGTCCATGAGACGTTTTGTTTGTTTCCCAGGGACTGAAGAGTAGCAAAATTCTGAGGTAGTTGCCCTAAGAATATTCCTTACATCACAAGGCTTATGTCAGACAATGTTCTGATTACCTACTGCTGAGTAACAAACTTCTCTACAACTTAGCGGCTTAAAACAGCTACCATTTTATCATTTCTCAGGATTTTGGATAAGACACAATAGGAAAGGCTTGTCTCTGGTCTACATAATGTGTGTAGGGGCTGGAACAAGCCAGAAGCCTTCTTTACTCAATGACTGGACCCTCAGCTAGGATGTGTTGACTGGGTTCATGTGCCTGTGGCCTCAGTTCTTCCTGGTAACTAGGTTCCTCCTTGTCCTTGTCTCTTGGGCTAATACTGTAATAATGTAGTCTCAGGGTCTTCCCCTCTCCACGCATTCTTTCCCCAACAGGATGGAAGAGGGGTTGCAGTTCAGGACTACCAAGAGCCCAAAACCAAGGCTGCCCGGTCTTTTTAAGGCTCAGACCTGAAAGGGGCAGTGTCATTTGCGTCACTTTCGCCTGTTGGTTAAAGGGAGTCACAGGCCCAGCCCAGATTCCAGGGTTGAGGCCCCCACAAGGTTCTCATTCCAGGAGGCATGTTCCAGGGTGGGATGGGGGGGTGGGGGAGGGAGCGCACCAAAGTAACAAACTATCAGACAAGGAAGACTCCAGGGCAAACACGTGCGGGCTGAGAATGTTCTAGCTGCCAATTTTATGCTGCCTTCTCTTCAGAGATGGTTGGACGACAAATAGTAAGGAGCAAGGTAACCTCAAACTTTGTCCAAAGAATTAAAGTCTGGGCTGCCACTGAACTAGCTTGTGTCAAGGGAGGCCAGGCTGTGTGTCTTCATTCAGTCTATTATGCATTTACTGAGCACAGTCCCAGGTTCTTAACACAAGTAATTTAATTTCATTATTCCTATTTTAAAGGGGAGAAAGCAGAGGCTCAGAATGCAGCACGCCTTCTACAGTACCCCACCTAGCACCACACCACGATGCAGCCTCTTAGACCCTTTCTGGCCGGCAGCTAAGGTTGGGGCAGAGTGCTGACAGGGACGCGGGGTCTCTTGGACGGGAGCACTCAACAGGGTCGGCGGCCTCTCTGTCCTCTGGGGACCGCCTCTCTCCAGTTGCCCTTGGCTGTCGGGGCGGCCGGTTCCCAGGCAGCCAATCGGAGTAGGGAGACACTTCAGGCTTCCTACCCTGCCGCCGCCGTCCGAGGCAAAGGGCGAAAACTAGATCTAGGGCGTCTTGTATCAAGCGACTTTCAACTCTCCCCAAATTCAGGGTCAGAGATTCGCCGTCGGAGCTGAGCGTTCGACAAGATCAAAGCCTGCGCGCTGCGCACCACCCACACACGCACGGGCGCGCCGGCCCCTCCTCCCACGCAGTTCTGGTCCCGCCCCCAAGATTGACCGTGCGAGCCACCGTCTGCACTGCTCAGCCGCTCACGGCCAGGCGAAGCCGAGCCGGGCGTGCTGTGTGTACGTGTGTGTGTTTGTGTGTGTATGTGCTCGTGGGGCGCCGTCTCAGCCCCGGGAAGATGGTGGCAGTGGCGGTGGCGACTGAGGCGAGGCTGAGGAGGAGGACGGTGGTGACGACAGCGCCCGCGGGCAGGATCGGCGGGCGGCGCGGGGACTGGGACGTGACCGGGGCTGGGAGGCCAGGTCTGGGGGCCGGGCTGCGCCTTCCGCGGCTACTGTCGCCGTCTCTGCAGCCGCGGCTGCTGCTGCTGTTGCTCCCGCCGCTGCTGCTGCTGCAGCTGCTGCCCTGGGCGGCCGAGGCCGCGGCGGCAGCGGCGACTGTGTCGGGCTCAGCCGCAGTCGAGGCCAAGGAATGCGACCGGCCATGTGTCAACGGCGGTCGCTGCAACCCTGGTACCGGCCAGTGCGTCTGCCCCGCCGGCTGGGTGGGCGAGCAATGCCAGCACTGCGGGGGCCGCTTCAGGTGAGTGGGGGGTAGTGTTGGAGGGTCGGGCTCAGCTAGAGGCTGGGATTGGGGGGCGCTCGAGACGGCTCCAGGCCAGAGGCGGATGCCGGACAGAAAGTGGGAGGTGAGGGCCGCCCCTCAGTGGTTGAAGACCCTTTGCTTCCGGGGAGATCATCGTCTTTGACCTGGGATATTCCACTGGTAGAAGGTGAAAAGGTGCGAGGTAGAGGTAGGGGCACACCGAAGGCATTTGAATGCGGCGGGCTAGGTGTGAAAAAAGCTTAGGGTCTCAAAGAGTATCAAAGCCAGTCACTGAAACTAGGCCTATTTCAGAAAAGCAAGGTATCAAAGAAAAGACGAGTGAGCCAGTTTTAACATCCCTTTGTGCCCTCAGGGCCTGATAAGCTCCCTGACTAGTTGGAATGTGGGATACTCTGAAGAACAGGGCCCTGGAAGTGATTTGTTGGCTGGGGAGGAGGGGGAAAGTCAGGATTGTGAAATGTTAGGAATGGAACAGTGGTTGTTGGCTAAAGGAAAGTGAGGAAACTAGCCTTTTGAAGCTCAGTTGAGGCTGCACGTTGGAACAGGGTCTGTCCTAGAGAAGGGATGGAAGGAGGTTCCTGTTTGTCCTGGTTCTGGAGAATATGGAGTTGGCCTGGTTCAGGGGAATACTTCTTGGAGAGATCATTAATTGATTAATTAGCACTTATCTATTATTTGCTTCATTTGTGCAAGGGTTTCCGGATAACACACAAATACATACTGGGTTAGCCAGATTTTGGCCTAGTCCAAAAGGAGTTTGGAGTACAGCCAGAGATTGATATGTACGCAACCCTAGTCATTAGGGTTAGAGTCATTCATGCATGCCTTTGGTAGATATACTGGACACCTATGATGTCTGATGTGGGAGAGGGAAGAAATAAGATGAACAAGGCAGCACCTTGTTCTTGTATCTTAACATTCTAGTGAGGGTGACAGGCAATTAACAAGTAAATAGTGAAATGAACAAGATAATTTCAGGTAAGGGTAAATGATATAAAGAAAATAAAACAGGGTGTTCTGATAGGAGAATTTTAACCAGCAGGAGAACGTGTGGGAATTCAGAGATGGAGAGGTTAATACTGGCTGGGGGATCCAGGGAAGACTTTGAGGAGGAGGTCACATTGGATTCTAGCATTTGAGGCTAAGTAAGTATTTGGAAAGGTGGAGCTGGGAAAAAAATTCCAGATGGAAGGAAAGATGCAAAGTTGTGGAGGCTACAAAATAAAGTTTTGCTCGTGCCAGGATATATAGAAGAGAGTTGTGAGAGAGAAGTTTGGAACGGCAGAATTATACACTCATGTAATGTCAGAGTTTCAAGAGAACTCAGAGAATATTGAGGAGATGAGCTCCTTAGTTTTATGGATAGAGAAATGAAGTGACTTCACAGCCAGTGTGTAGTGGGGCTGGCCTTATAATTTAGATGATTCTGATTTATGAATTCCACTAATCTGCAAATATTTGTGGAGGGCTCCTTTGTATTAGGTTGTGAGATACAATGGTAAAGATAGATACAGTTTTGCTATGGTGGAGTTTATATTCTAGTTTGGGAATAAAAAATTCCCAGTGATCACTTTGTTATAATTCTGCTTAATGCTATGAAGGTGAAGTGCAGGGGCCAAGTAAAGGACTTGGCTTAGTTTGGAATTAGGATGAGGTTAGTTACTGAGTAAACGACTTGTGCATTGAGATCCAGAGGGTGAGAAGTACTATCTTTGTGAGAGATGGGATGTGGAGGACCAGCATGTGCCAGGGCTTGGGAATGAGAGGAATCATGGCAGGCTGAATAGAAGGCCAGGTAGCTGGAGCAGAGAAGGCAAAGAAGAGATTAGCAAGACTGGAGAAATAGGCAAGGGTCAGGCCATGTGGAGACCTTTTGGTTTGGTTAAGAATTTTGACCTTTAGCTTAAGAGCAGGAGAATGGCATAGTTCACTCTTTTTAGCAGGACATTATAGGCTTTTAAATTGGAGCCAGACTAGAAATGGCCTTGAAGGAGATGTCAGTGCATTTTGAATTTGAGGACCTTCCAAGATCAGGTGAATGGATGGTTAGGTGAGATGAGGGTCCTTCAAGTTGTGAAAATCAGAGACACTGTGGTAGGCAGTGGAGGACCACAGGGTACAAGGGACATTTCGTAACAAGATTAATCTGTCACTAATGTTCAGAGTAGGTGAACTCGTTTTGGTCATGAGAGATGGTGGGCAGTTAGGTGAGAGCTGTTGGCATGGGCCAGGCCAGCGGTAATGAGAGCTTGAGCTAGGCAGTGAGAAAGGAGGCAGGGATAGATGCTAGGTGGTGGTGTAGAGGTAAAATGGACAGGTCTTTCTTTGGAGGAGCAGGTCTGAGAGAAAAGGTAGTGTTTAGTTTTGGACATACTGACTTTGGGGTGCTCTTAGGGTATCCACATGGCAGGACAGATGTGAGAGCTGGAGTCATCTATGTATGAGGGAGATTACTAGGGAGAGAGAACAGGTCTGAGTGTCCACACGGATAGTCCAGAGGATTGGAGAAGAGCTACTTGATACGGGGAGCACGCAGTCCTGGCACTGGTTGTCTCAGATGGTGTCACAAACTGGTGTCACGTGTGAGTGAAGGAGCTCCCCTGGTTACTGCCAATCCTAGTTGGCTTCCATGCTCTTTCTTGGGCAGAGATTTCAGACTTGGGTCCTGTTAATACCACTTGTGTTTTGTGGGTTTCTAGAATTTTCATTTTTTGAAAATGAAAATAGGAGGAATTTATGTCTCTGACTTTTTTTTTTTTTTAACTTTTCATTAAAGTTTTACTTGAGGGGGAGAATGAAATGGTTTTGATTGCAGTGGTATTTATGTTGATTTAACTTACAAAATTATTTTTTTTATTAAACTAAAAAATATTAAATGAATACCTTTCTGGTTTGGAATAACATCAAGTCAATGTTTTTTAAGCTTTTTAGTTCCTAACTCTTGTGTTAGAATTGCTGTTATGAGGTCTTTTACATGGATTGAGAGAAATGTAAGATAATAAATGGATTGGATTTCACTGAAGTTATCACTGACTGCCTACTGTGTACCAGTACCTGTACTTGGCCAAGCATTTTCATTTGCATTGTACCATTGTACCATTTAATCCTCAGGACAACTCTGAGGGTCTTGTATTATTGTATGGTTGTAATTAGAGAACTATTTAATTTTTTTTTCCAAATGAAACATGCTACCAAAAAACTCATTGTCGTCAAGTCGATTCTGGCTCATAGTGACCCTATAAGATAGGGTAGAACCACCCCATAGGGTTTCCAAGGTTGTAATCTTTAGGGAAGCAGACTGCTACATCTTTTTCCTGTGGAGCGGCTGGTGGGTTTGAACAGTCAACCTTTCAGTTAGCAACCAAGTGCTTTAACCACTATGCCACCAGGGCTTCTTGAAACGTGCTACAGAAATGATTACTCACAAAGGATGAAGTTAATGGTGTCAGTTTAATAAAAATACCTATAGGATCTTTGGTGGATAATGTCTAAAGCAACACCACTTTCATGGGAATCTTCATAGTTTGGTGATCATTTTTTCTGTTTGTAGCCTCACCATTGGAATTTTTCTTTGGAGGATAAATAAGCCCCATCAAGTCAGAGTAAAGATATTAATCCCATTTATGAAACTGATATGCACTTAATACTTTTAAGTTCCTGCTATACAGAACTTTCGGGAGGATAGAGTAATTTAGTGAATTGAGCTTTTTAGTTACCCATGATGTTAAGACTTATCTTCTGTAGAAGAAAAGGAAAGAAAGGAAGCATTTATTGAGCATCTGTTATGTGCCAGCACATGCAGTACTATAGTAGGAGTTGCAGCAGCTCCTGCTGCCTCCATTTCTCTAGTATTTCTCCATTTCTTCTATGCAGTGTGCTAAGTGCCTTTTGGAAATTACCCCTTTTAATCCTTGGAATGATGTTACTTACGTTCATGAATCAAATTTAGGCTTGTCTGTTTCCCCTAGTAGAATATAAGCTCTGTGAGGGCAGGGAGTTTTATATATTGTCATCACTTTTATATTCCCAGAGCCTAAAATAGTCCCTGGGACAGACTCACTGCTGAATAAGTGTTTGTTGAATGAAGGTATGGAGTTCTACAGTATGCTTTTTATGACTTATTAAAAAGTCATCTTTACCCATTTGTTTGCCATATCTGTCTTTTGTCCTCATATTTCTCTTGAACTTCATTGTCTTCTACTGTTTGTTGGATATCTTTATTGGGATGTTTTCCTGTCACGTCATACTGATCTATGACTAAGACCAAACTTCTTACACTTACTGAAAGAAAGTCTTTTTCCATTGTACTGCCTTATTTCAGTTGTGAATTCTATAACCAAAGGTCAAAACTTGGAGGTGATCTGTGGCCCTTTCTACCTATTTGTTATCTGTTCTCTAAAGTCTTAGGAATTTGTCCCATTCCATTCTTCCTGGTGCCATCTGGTACACCTGGCCCTTCACCTCATTGTTCACCTGCCTCTGTTGCCCCCTAACTAGCATCTTCCACCTCAGTCCATTCTACAGTTTGTCATAAAAATCCCTGGAAAACATGTTTCACTGTCTGGCTCAGAAACCTTTTTTTTTTTTTTTTTTTAACTCTTCTTAATTACCCTCAGCGGAAGGCTCGCATTCCCTTACATGCATTCCTTTTTCCCTAACCAAATCTTCCTACTTTGTAGTCATTCTTTCTACATCTTTGCTGAGTTTAGCACCCTTCCTCCTCACCACCCCCACATACTTTCTTTTCTTCTCTACTTATCTGGATTCTACCCGCTAAGGCCCATCTTCAGTTCTCTGTGTATAGTCTATAATAGCCAGTTCTCCCTAATAGCATACCTGTTATCTTCTCTTGAGGTGACTCATCAACCTGTTCAATTCATAGCTATCTTTTGAGTGATTATTATGTGTTAGGTACTGTGCACTGTCTTGAGGATACGAAGGGTGAGAATCAGGCCTTGCTTTCTCCATGGGGAATT